CAACATACTTGTATGCCCAACATCTCTGTATACCCTATACACCTGTATGCACCTTATACGTGTTGTCCATTGTACCTGTATGTACAGCATACTTGTATGCCCAACATCTCTGTATGCCCTATACACCTGTATGCACCTTATACGTGTTGTCCATTGTACCTGTATGTACAGCATACTTGTATGCCCAACATCTCTGTATGCCCTATACACCTTATACGTATTGTCCATTGTACCTGTATGCTCAACATATTTATATATCCTACACATTTGTATGTCCCAAATACTTATTGTCAAACATACCTGTATGTCCTATACACCTGTATGTCCCATATATTTATTGCCCACTGTACCTATATGTACAACATACCTGTATGTCTTATATACCTGTATGTCCCATATACTCTATATCAATTTTATCTGTGTGGCAGTACTCCTCCATAAATGTACCCATGTATCATTAACATTGGCATGTCCTACTGAAGCCCTGTAGAATCTATGAGCGATTTCAATGAAAAAAGTTTTGTAGTTTTGTTGGAGTACATCACTGAGAAGTGTAGTTCCTGATGATGACGTCAAATAGACATGTGACAGGTGTCATTCACAGTCATTTGAATCACATGCTTTCTTTTTCGTGTAAAGTGTGTTATTGCCATGCAAATGTAAACATTATGACGATTGTGGACAAAACACTTGTTCCATCTAACGAATTACAATGTCGATAGTGAGAAACTGCTGGCAGACGGTTGACTGACAGACAGTAACCTGTGTTGACAAAATCACGTGATATTGAACTGTAACTTTTATAGTAAGTATGCTTTATGTATCCAGCGCAATATATGATGCATTATTTCAACAGTCTTTCGTTTATATTTTTCGTATAAATTTTCCTTATCTACCGGAGTGCGTTAAAGTGTATCCTTAATTCTAAATCGACGATTATACATGCATATACTTATATAAAGCTGTCCACTTTGTCGAAATGAGAAAAAAATCAAACATTGAACATTGGACATCGTTTTATTTTGTATTGGTCGTAAATATGGACTTCATCTTTTAACAATGGCAACACAGGCTAATACCTTATATTTATATTCTTGTTGACACAGCTTGAAGCGCGCGAGAGGTTCGACAGTGGCAGAAATCCGTAGTACCCATGGACAGGAACCACAACCGAGCGATAAGATGGGGCAGAACTGATCAAACTAGTAAAATTGTTTAATAAGCATTATCTCACATCTTGTGCGATAGTTTTCTTGTCTTGAAGAGTGATCTGTTAATAAAATGTCAATTCTCCGTTGAAAGTAAATATGATTTGAACCAGACATTTAGTCCAGTGTCGACAAGGGGTTCGTTTGCATGTAAATATATATATAATTTTTCTAGATAATTTACATACATACAAGTGCATAGTATCTTATGCCAATACCGGAAATGCCTTCAGCATTCCGACCTTACGTACAGATAGATATAACTGCCAAAGATAGGTAACAGGCGACGTATGGCAGCCGTAAATACGCATGCCCTACGGCCATGATCTTGTCACACGGTCACGTGACTGTCGGGTAAACATATGCATTTGAATGTATACAGTAGCTTACGACGCCGTACAGGTCTCTATGCTTACATGAAGATAAGTAAAACCTAACACAGGGATGTACCTGGCGAACTCCCTAGCCAAACTATATATATATATAGGTATATAAACTGGTAACCCCGGCGTATCACATATATATATATGAAAACTCAGTAAACGGTCTGTTTATTACCAACAGTTACATGCATTTGTGTTTGTTTTTCTATTAGATGGAGGTTTTCGTACAGCGTTAACAATACCAAAACACGTGTGATAATTATAGGCATGTAAACGTAACATAATTTACAAACTTACTATAGACTTAGTTTTATGAGAAGTTGACAAATCTTCTGTAACAGTTATTATAAATATAATACTATAGACTACGGAACACAAAATAATCGGACAACTTTCAAAAGTTTTACTGTAAACTTTTGTTAGCAAATTAGTTTTTCAATACCAACTGTCTCAAATATAACACTGTCACATCTTTTAAATTCAATTCAAATGTCACTCGCAGAATGTTTGATTTTAAAAACAGAGTTGACAATAAACTTGAAAGATGAACATCGCCTGTCTAAAACACGTAGACTTATGTAAAAGTCTATATACTTTTGTTACAATGTTATGAATGTCGATATTTATGTCATGGTGTGTGCCGTTTATTGATCAGTACACTTAGCCCCGTTATTCGTTAATGGGGAAAGATAAACAGATGTTCTCATACTTCAGTGAGGGAGTTTTGTATACGGATATGTACGCCCTCCTAAATGGGGTACTTTTCGCTGTGGGATACTTGTAGATATTTGTTTTCACTCGTCGCTCTGGGATACTTGTAGATATTTGTTTTCACTCTTCGCTGTGGGATACTTGTAGATATTAGTTTTCACTCGTCGCTGTGGGATACTTGTATATATTTGTTTTCACCTTTCGCTGTGGGATACTTGTAGATTTTAGTTTTCACCTTTCGCTGTGGGATACTTGTAGATATTTGTTTTCACTCTTCGCTGTGGGATACTTGTAGATATTTGATTTCACTCTTCGCTGTGGGATATTTGTAGATATTTGTTTTCACCTTTCGCTGTGGGATACCTGTAGATTTTAGTTTTCACCTTTCGCTGTGGGATACTTGTAGATATTTGTTTTCACTCTTCGCTGTGGGATACTTGTAGATATTTGATTTCACTCTTCGCTGTGGGATATTTGTAGATATTTGATTTCACTCTTCGCTGTGGGATATTTGTAGATATTTGATTTCACTCTTCGCTGTGGGATACTTGTAGATATTTGATTTCACCCTTCGCTGTGGGATACTTGTAGATATTTGTTTTCACATTTCCCTGTGGGATACTTGTAGATATTTGTTTTCACCTTTCGCTGTGGAATACTTGGAGATATTTTATTTCACCCTTTCGCTGTGGGATACTTGTAGATATTTGTTTTAACTCTTCGCTATGGGTACATAGATACAAGCATTTTCGCTCTTCAATATGCAGGTGTATAGACAAAATGATTTCGTTTTTCACTATGGGAAACTTGAAGAAGTGTTTTCTCTCTTCACTAGGGGTAACCTGTAGGAAGTGTTTTCGCTCTTCACTATGAGGTAACCTATAGGAAGTTTTTTCTCTCTTCGCTATGGTTAACCTGTACGAAGTGTTTTCGCTCTTCACTAAGGGTAACCTGTAGGAAGTGTTTTCGCTCTTCACTGAGGGTAACCTATAGGAAGTGTTTTCTCTCTTCGCTATGGGTAACCTGTAGGAAGTGTTTTCTCTCTTCGCTATGGGGTAACCTATAGGAAGTGTTTTCTCTCTTCCTTATGGGTAACCTGTAGGAAGTGTTTTCTCTCTTCGCTATGGGTAACCTGTAGGAAGTGTTTTCTCTCTTCGCTATGGAGTACCTATAGGAAGTGTTTTCGCTCTTCGCTATGGGGTACCTTAGATTAGTGTTTACGCACATCTATCGAGAAGTATTTTGGACAGGTGTACAAACAATTGATTTCGCTATTTCCGGATGAGTGCTTGTACACAAGTGTTTTTCGTTCCTCAATTCTGTCGTTTAATTACAGGCAGGTTTCTGTAATACTACCAATCGCCAGCGGAATTTCGACTGGTTTGGTTCTTCGTGTTTCTTGATCACTTTTATCAAGAGTGGACGTGACAGTCGCACAGCAAAGATGATTCTTTATGTTGTGGTTTTATACAATATCAGAAAAAAAACCGCAAAGGGATTATTTACACGCCTCTTAACTTGGAATAAACCGCAACGACCCGTGGTTAAGTGGGTCAAACTAGAAAGTTGTCGAAGCAGATCATCAAAAACACAGCAGGACTCGTAGTAAAATAAATTCTGTAAACCAAACAATTTTAAATTGCAATAAAATATACATTAAATAGAATGTAAATTCCTTACCTGTTATAGGTGGAATCCATAGGCCGTAAAGGCTACTTTCCGTTTCGATAGGTTTAAAGTTAGCTACCATATCAATGATATTTACTATTGCGGCAGCGAGAGCTGTGTTGTCATACAGCGTACTGGTTCACATGTATAAAGCCGCAAATGTAGCTGAGATGTAAGCGGCCTCGTGATTGGCTAGAGCCTCGGAATGGGTCATGCAGTACATGCACCTCGTTTCTTGGGTCACTATATTCTTACGTTTGCAGTCTATTTGAACGCGACTATTTTAAAACAGTCTCACATTTGTTATCAAAGTGTGTCAGATAGCGTGTCACATTAGGAAAATAAAATAAGCGTATCTATAAACAGAGATTAAAATATAATTTTAAATCATTCGGCTATGAAATGAAAACATATGGATGCAATGACGGAAATAGAATTTTACTCTGCTAACTTGCACGACCGAGAGTGAAAAAGCGTATGGAGTTTACAGTGAGCCTAGCTCTCGCACTGACTCACCGCCTCCTATCAACCATCTGTAATATAGAAGGTTCACCACAGCTCGATGTATTTTGGCACCGAGATAAAAAACAAATCGAAGAATTTGCCTAGAAGGAATGCTGGCAGTTTTGTATAATTAGTCTTTATACGGCGGGTATATCAACAGAATCCCGTGACAGACTATATAGCTAGACCGTGGCGTATGTATGTACACCTAACGCACTTGTACTAGTATTTAATACAGAGATGTAGTAGATAGATCCACAGCCGAAGTGTGTCTGATGGTGTGTGGATGTCATTCTCAATTAAAGGCAAAAGTGTAGAGGGCTGGCTAATTTACACTTGATCGATGTTGTTCACACGGCCTTCTGGCGCGAGCTATGACTTCTGCACTAACCAGGAAGATTGGTGTTCGAATTCCTGTATAAGTACGGCTAATAAGAACGATATGAGACGAATCGTTATTTTCATCATTTCCTTGTGTCGTAGTATCGTAGTGTCTTAGTGTCGTCATTGTCGCATATTTCAGGAATCATTGCATCGTTAACTTCACATACATCTTATACGGTTTGTCGTTATTCCAGCCTATACCTTGTGTCATCTTGTCGTTATTCCAGCCTATACCTTGTGTCTGTGTCATATTGTCGTTATTCCAGCCTATACCTTGTGTCATATTGTCGTTATTCCAGCCTATACCTTGTGTCATATTGTCGTTATTCCAGCCTATACCTTGTGACATATTGTCGTTATTCCAGCCTATACCTTGTGTCACCTTGTCGTTATTACAGCCTATACCTTGTGTCATATTGTCGTTATTCCAGCCTATACCTTGTGTCATATTGTCGTTATTCCAGCCTATACCTTGTGTCATATTGTCGTTATTCCAGCCTATACCTTGTGTCATATTGTCGTTATTCCAGCCTATACCTTGTGTCATATTGTCGTTATTCCAGCCTATACCTTGTGTCATCTTGTCGTTATTCCAGCCTATAGCTTGTGTCATCCTGTCGTTATTCCAGCCTATACCTTGTGTCATATTGTCGTTATTCCAGCCTATACCTTGTGTCATCTTGTCGTTATTCCAGCCTATACCTTGTGTCATCTTGTCGTTATTCCAGCCTATACCTTGTGTCATCTTGTCGTTACTCCAGCCTATACCTTGTGTCATATTGTCGTTACTCCAGCCTATACCTTGTGTCATATTGTCGTTATTCCAGCCTATACCTTGTGTCATATTGTCGTTATTCCAGCCTATACCTTGTGTCATATTGTCGTTATTCCAGCCTATACCTTGTGTCATATTGTCGTCATTCCAGCCTATACCTTGTGTCATATTGTCGTCATTCCGTGCTATACCTTGTGTCGTTTTGTCATCATTCCTTGCTATACCTTGTGTCGTTTTGTCATCATTCCGTGCTATACCTTGTGTCGTTTTGTCATCATTCTGTGCTATACCTTGTGTCGTTTTGTCATCATTCCGTGCTATACCTTGTGTCGTTTTGTCATCATTCCGTGCTATACCTTGTGTCGTTTTGTCATCATTCCGTGCTATACCTTGTGTCGTTTTGTCATCATTCCGTGCTATACCTTGTGTCGTTTTGTCATCATTCCGTGCTATACCTTGTGTCGTTTTGTCATCATTCCGTGCTATACCTTGTGTCGTTTTGTCATCATTCCGTGCTATACCTTGTGTCGTTTTGTCATCATTCCGTGCTATACCTTGTGTCGTTTTGTCATCATTCCGTGCTATACCTTGTGTCGTTTTGTCATCATTCTGTGCTATAACTTGTGTCGTTTTGTCATCATTCCGTGCTATACCTTGTGTCGTTTTGTCGTTATTCCTGATACACTAAAGTTATGTTTCCCTCCTTTTCCTACTTAAGTTTTGGTTTTGTAGTATACATTTTTGTATACGAGTTTGTTTTTAAGTGGTCGGACATGTTTAAGGGAAACCTTGTCGCGGGTTGTTTGTGCGAATATTTCCTAAGTTGATATATGTACTGTGTTTGTGAGTGTGCATCTAATAATACTTGCTAGTAACTTTGATTTCTAAGACAGAGTATCTATTTGGATGTCGTAAACAGAAGTACAATTACTTTGGTATATACATGCACGATCAGATGGTTTGCCCCTCTGTGTAAGGGAGACGACATTTTATGTATATGTTCTGTCACGTTTGTCTAATGTCGGGCGGATCGTTGATGTATGTAGTGGTAATAACATCATGGCTGTCATCGTCATTATTATTATCGTGAGAGAGACGACTCGTTCATCACCCGTCAACAACTCAAACGTCTAGACGACCGCGATTTCAGAACAGTAGACGAATACATGCCAAAACCTTGTGTTGTTTACACACACACATATATATATACGATATGCTTCGTTTAGAGAGAGAGAGAGAGAGAGAGAGAGAGAGAGAGAGAGAGAGAGAGAGAGAGAGACATATATGTATGTAATATTTCTGAAACGTCGCCAATCTCTTGAGTGAGGCCCGTGTGTTCAATGTTTCATAACAGTAGTACCTCGTGAACAGTTGTGACGTCATCGATTTTAGTTTGTCATTCTTAATCAGGAGCTAATGTTTTTGTATAGAAGGGTGTTTGGTTCTAGGCGTTTTGTGTATGTCAGCCGTGATTAGTAAGTCAATAACAGGACCCAGAAAATATTAATATTGTCTATCTTTTATATGTAGATTGACTTACGGTATGCTTCGTTAAAGAAATTCATCAAGACACACTGATATTCTGTCGAGATGAAGCGGCGACAGAAATCTCACACGGTATAAAAACCATAAAGCTTTGAGGAACTCTTCAACCCGATACCGAACGATCCCAGCGCCATGATTAAATCTATAAATAGGCCAAATATCCCGCCATTAATTTATTAACTATTTGATGAAAGAGATGTATAAACCTCCGTATATATTTCAGGTCATTACAGAAAATAAATAAGCGCCTTGTCGTTATTCGTCCAAATTTCTTTGTTTTCAGTTTGATTCGACATGCTGGTACTGGATTAAGAATACTACCTTGTAGCATAAACAACGGACATTTTCTTGTAACTATCGATGATAGAAGTGTGTATTTCCCTGTCCTCGTGTGTGCTGCAGGGACCGGAAGTCGTTTAATGGTGCACTATTGAAATTTTACAGAGAAGTGATATTTCAGTGTCATTCCGGCACTGTTTTGTAATTATCCATAATGTTTCTCCGCAGGGAGGAATCAAGTGCCTCTGCTACCGGGAAATCTTAAGATAATACATGCCTGTGTATTAGGACTCGTGACGTCCGACTTTTTAAAGCAATCGCCCCTTGTCGTAATTGCGCGTGCAGACATTCCGGCGGGACGGTTTTAGTGACAGGCGGAGACGCTCGATAAACTTGACCAAGAACCTTTATTCAACGTCGCAGACTCCAGTTAATTTCCAAGATGACGAAATTTCAAGGGAAAATAAACCAATTCTCCAGTGAAGAGTCGACAATTGTTATAGTCACACTCGGAAACTCTCTGTATCGCTGTACGTAAATAATTACCTAGTTTACGGAGCTTCGAGTAGATCAGAGCGGCTAACTAGCACTATCATGGGCAGACCTGAAGTAACGTTAGTGACATAACAGCTCTATCACCTGTCATGTGGCTTACTAAGCCTTATTCATCATCTCCTCAACTATTCCTCGAGACGGCCAGGACATCCCCGTGGACGGCGCACCAGATACACACGTCTGACCCGTCATCTACACTTAGTCCGATATTAACGGGACATTGGTGTGGTTCACGCCCTTGCAGTTATCCATACAAAAAGGCTTTAATTGATATGACACAAGTAATATACTCGGCAAACTGAATTCCTTTAACCAACTTTTTATGAAGAACTGAATCCTGCATGTAACCCGCTCACCAGGGATGATACGTTAAAGCTTCCAACCTTGTACCTACCATGACACATGTTATCCGCCGACTAATTACCTGTCACGACACGTGTAATCTGCCGACCTGTTACTGTTGCCTGTCATGATACCTCTAATCTGCCGCCCAATTATCAGTCATGACACATGTAATCTACAGGCCTGTTACCTGTCGTGACACGTGTAATCTACCGGCCTGTTACCTGTCGTGACACGTGTAATCTACCGGCCTGTTATCTGTCGTGACACGTGTAATCTGCCGACCTGTTACCTGTCGTGACACGTGTAATCTACCGGCCTGTTACCTGTCGTGACACGTGTAATCTACCGGCCTGTTACCAGTCATGACACGTGTAATCTACCGGCCTGTTACCAGTCGTGACATATGTAATCTGCCGACCTGTTACCTGACTTGACACATGTACACTGCCGAACCTGACATAACACGTGTAGTCTGCCGACCTCATACCTCTCATGACACGTTTAGTCTGCCGATGTATCACCTGTCATGACACGTGTTATCTGTCGACCTGTTACCGCGAACTTCAATTGCCAGCATATCCAAAATTGCCGCCAGAATTTGGAATCTGTCTAAACTTGTAGTTGTAGATCTATCATCCCGGCCAATCTCGCGAGAATTTACTTTTTGAAAGGTTTACAATCACTAGCATAGATTCCATATCGTGGTGGCCATTGTACATATTCTGGAAAGTAAAGTTGTCTGTCGGGGAAAATGAGTAGAGATTCTTGGTTTACAACATTTGATTGCTTTGATACATATGCAAACTAGTGGAAAATGTGTTAAAAATATCGCCGTGTTGTTACCTACATATAACATTGCCCTGCCTGAATGCCGGCCTTGCAAGGGTTGCTAGTATTTGTTTAATATACACACATATATATGAAGGAATTCTGACTATCAGTCCGCGACGAATACTATATAACGATAGTAAAAACCCGTCGGACAACCAGACAGGATATTGTCAACCTAGACATTCCTGCATATATTTCCTAACTCGTGAGGTCATTACTTGGTCAATATTTGATCAATCTCGTTCATCAAGGATTCATAGTAAAGATAAAACATTTTTCTCAAATAGAAAAAAGTTCCTTAGATTTACAGACTCAAGAACATAAACAAGCATCATTTTAGAAAAAAAAATATCTCCACTTTTTTCTCTTTATGATTAACAACCCAAGTCACTATAATATACATATATATATATATATATATATATATATATATATATATATATATATATATATGGACCATGGATAGGAAATTTATGCCAAGTCCACCCGCTTAATTGCGTTACGTGAATATCTTTCTCGACACGGGCGCTGTGTATTCGCTGTGGGGTATGACGAATTGGAAACCACTCGGGTGTTTGACAGTAACTTCCGGGTTCATTTGTTGGTTACGTAGAAAATGTACATTACGTATAGTTGAAAGACGAAAAATTCTTCAGTCAAATTAACATCACGTGACATAAATTCCAGTTCCATGAAATTTACCAAGAAACAAGAAACAGTCTGATCCTAACAAACATCTACTTAGAAAACTGCTGTAGAACTGGTAGTCTACACTAAAACACTCGCTGAATTTACAGTAGTGACCGGACAGAGGTTTAAGGGATACCTTTCTGATATATAAGGCTTTTGGCTACAGGCTGGTCTCGAACAGGGAAGGAATTCGGGTACTAAATGATACCCGGGGAAAAAACAAAAAAAAAAAAGAGAGAAAAAAAAAAAGAAAGAAAGAAAAAAAGTCGATATGGTCCATAATCCTTTGTTACACTTTGTTTGTTGTGATAATGGTGAGGTTTGTTGTGTAGGACGTCTCTGTTGTGATAATGGAGACGTTTGTTGTGCAGGACGTCTCTGTTGTGATAATGGAGACGTTTGTTGTGTACGACGTCTCTGTTGTGATAATGGTGACGTTTGTTGTTGTATAGGACGTGTCTATTGTGATAATGGAGACGTTTGTTGTGTAGGACGTCTCTGTTGTGATAATGGTGACGTTTGTTGTTGTGTATGACGTCTCTGTTGTGATAATGGTGACGTTTGTTATGTAGGACATCTCTGTTGTGATAATGGTGACGTTTGTTGTGTAGGACGTCTCTGTTGTGATAATGGTGACGTTTGTTGTTGTGTAGGACGTGTCTGTTGTGATAATGTTGACGTTTGTTGTGTAGGACGTCTCTGTTGTGATAATGGTGACGTTTGTTGTTGTGTAGGACGTCTCTGTTGTGATAATGGTGACGTTTGCTGTGAAGGACGTCTCTGTTGTGATAATGGTGACGTTTGTTGTGTAGGACGTCTCTGTTGTGATAATGGTGACGTTTGTTGTTGTGTAGGACGTCTCTGTTGTGATAATGGTGACGTTTGTTGTGTAGGACGTCTCTGTTGTGATAATGGTGACGTTTGTTGTTGTGTAGGACGTGTTTGTTGTGATAATGGTGACGTTTGTTGTTGTGTAGGACGTCTCTGTTGTGATAATGGAGACGTTTGTTGTGTAGGACGTCTCTGTTGTGATAATGGTGACGTTTGTTGTTGTGTAGGACGTGTCTGTTGTGATAATGTTGACGTTTGCTGTGTAGGACGTCTCTGATGTGATAATGGTGACGTTTGTTGTTGTGTAGGACGTCTCTGTTGTGATAATGGTGACGTTTGTTGTGTAGGACGTCTCTGTTGTGATAATGGTGACGTTTGTTGTTGTGTAGGACGTGTCTCTTGTGATAATGGTGACGTTTGTTGTTGTGTAGGACGTCTCTGTTGTGATAATGGTGACGTTTGTTGTGTAGGACGTCTCTGTTGTGATAATGGTGACGTTTGTAGTTGTGTAGGACGTCTCTGTTGTGATAATGGAGACGTTTGTTGTGTAGGACGTCTCTGTTGTGATAATGGTGACGTTTGTTGTTGTGTAAGACGTCTCTGTTGTG